TCATCTGAGAAAGCAGGATTTTCAGAGTACATCTTTTTGGCATAGATGGCCAGGGGGAACATCCAGGGACTTCCAGGGAGCTGATTCCCATAGGAAACGTGTCTCCTTGTCTTAGCAGCATAATTTTATGCTTATATAGCACATTTTTATGCTCACATAGACTCTGGAGTTAGTGTGGCAGCATAGTATCATCCTCTCCAAGAACAGATAGACAGATAAACAGAAGTAGTCTGTATTTTGTATGACTATATTGTGAGGTATGAATATGTCCCACCAAAGCCTTGTGGTATGGTAGTTTGAATATATCTTCTCACCCAAATCAGTCCCCAAATCAACAGTATTAAGAGGTGCCATTAGGCTCCACTCTCATGAATGGAATCAATGCTGATTCTAAAAAAAGACTGAATCTTTAGGCTTGATATCTTGCTCCCACTCTTCTTTTTTGCCTCTCTCCTGGGAATAATGTACCTTCATAGTATACATGTAAATATTCACTGAACAAAATCTTCCATTTGTCCATTTAGATCTAGTGATTCAGCGAGGTCTAGTGTATCCCTTTAATCTTAGCACTTGGGAAGCAGAGGCAGACAGATCTGATACTGAGGCCAACCAGGTCATTCAGTCTATAGAGTTCCAAAACAGCCATGGCTAACAGAGAAATCCTGTCTCAAAGGGGAAAAAAGTGGAACTAGTGATTCTTTGAAGCATTAAAAATACAGTGGTAACTAAACAGAGATAGTTCTGCCTACCTAAGAGTAGGGCATTTTTTTTTAGTCCGATCAAAGTACTTTACTGTGTGTGCAGCACAGCTCTAACCAGTAACATGAGAAAAGTTATGAAACAAAATACTAAGAAGGGAAAATACATTCTGTGCTCTGTTGTTCCCTAATCATTTTCATGATGCTTTTTAAAAAGTATTCTTAGCCCTTTGGAGCTCTGTGGGCTCCCGCTTTCTCTGTCTCCCCTAAAGCTTCCAGCACTGTTGAATTACGTGCCTTCTGTGGCCATCCCCTAGAGAACAGGATGGGGCAGCCAGGGAGGTCAGGGATGCGGCTGCATGATAGGGCAATATTTAAATAAGTACATAATTATTTTTTATCATTGTGGGAAAATTCTAGCATAAAGGAAAAGTACTGGAAACTATGAAACAGTAAAAACAATTAATACTCATCAGGCTCTTAACTTTTTGTTAAACTCTTAAGTTTTTGACTCCTTTTATTTTCAGCGTGTGCATGCACACCCATGTGTAAATGTGTGGGAGTAGGAGGACATTTGGGAGCTGCATTCTCCTTCCTCCATGTGTTCTGGGGGTTAAACTCAGATCATCGGGCTTGGCAGCATTCAAGTCTTTACTGGCAGAGCTGTAAACAAAGGTTGGGCCATCGAATCTACCCTGGGCTTCAGCTGACAGAGCTCTGTCTTTCCAGACAAGAAATCTCAGCTCGTTCCTGCTGGTCAAGAAGAGCAGACTTTCAGAGTGGGAGGTTTTCCTGCATCTTAAAAGAACCTTCAACACATTCTCCATTTTAGCTCCCCCTTAACCTATCATTTCTTGCAATTCCATGACATTTTGAAGATTTTGCATGGTCATCATCAGAGTGAGCGGAATTTACCCACTCTTTGCCATTTCCTTTTTCTCCTTTCTCCTCACGTGTGTGTGTGTGTGTGTGTGTGTATGTGTGTGTGTGTTTGTCCTCCCTCCCCCCCAGATAGGGTCTCACTATGCGGCCCTGGCAGTCCAGCAGTTCACTCTGTAGACCAGGCTGCTGGCCTCAAACTCAACAGGGATCTGTCTGCTTCTACCTCCTGAGGGCTGGAATTAAAGTTCTGTGCCTCTATGTCTAGCATATGCATGTATTTTGATATAGAGACTTAATACAACTCAGGCTGACCTGGGCCAGAGTACCTGGAATTGCAAGTCCACACAACCAGGCCTGGTTAAATATGTGATTTATGTAAACTTAAAATGTGTTGGCAGTTGGTAGTGGCACATGCCTTTAATCCCAGCACTCAGGGAGGCAAGAGTATCTCTGAGTGCCAGGTCAGCCTGGCCTGCAGAATGAGTTCCAGGATAGCCAGAACTATACTGAGAAACCCTGTCTTGAAAAACAAACATACCTTTAATCCAACATGTCAAGTTGAAGTGTCTGAATAGTGCACATGAGGTCCCGATTTCTTTTCCTCTCCAAAGAACCTCTCCACATATACTAAAATTAGGGTGTTTCCAAAGATTTTTATTATATCTGTGGCCCATAACTTACTTATCACTGCTAAGATTAAAGATCACTATATCAACCACTTTAGCTTTAGTGTTTGTTCCAGGAAGTTTTTACCAACAAGACAGACTGTAAATCAGTGCTGTGAACTTAGCAACTTCCTGATAATTCATTTATCTGAAGGGTGGGTTGCTCACCAAAAACTCTTCCTTTTCCAACAGTAAGAGATTGAACTTAATTGGCCAATTCCATAAATCTGTTCTAATAAAAAAATGGACAGAGCTAGGGATGTAGTTCAGGCCTGGGTTCAATCCCTAACAAACCAAAAGGGAGTGGGAAATCTGACTTCTACTTCTTTGCCTTGTTGGTCTCAAACTGTTATACCATGAACAACCAGAGCTCCACCCTGAAAAGGTCACTTTAAACAACTCCAACTGACAGAACTCTCTAGAAACAGCTTTGACCTTTTCTTGGAGGTACTGATGAGATCGTGTCAGAGTATGATTATATGCCTAAATTAAGAAACTTGGCTGGGCAGTGTTCACATATGCCTTTAATCCCAGTGCTCAGGAGGCAGAGGCAGGTGGATCTCTGTGAGTTCTAGGCCAGCCTGGTCTATAAAGAGAGTCCAAGACAGCCAGGGCTCTGTGTAACAGAGTAAACACCGTCTCAAAAACAAAACAAAGCAAAACAAAAAACAAAAAAAAAAAACCTGAAACAAACATATAAAATAAAAAAATAAAAAAGGAAAATCCCTGACATGACATTGAGAGAATAAAACTCTAAAGATGCGGCTGAGTCCATTTTCTGTTGGCCATCTACTGTGGGCCTTTGGCCTACCCTTACAAGTAGTTTAGTTTTCTCAGTGAGCTTCCCTTGGAGAATAAATTTTTATTTGAAAGTGGTTATCAACTGGAGATAGCATCTGGGCTGGGGGATGGAGATTTGTGACCACGTCTCCTTTCGGCTCTAGGATCCCATCAGGTGCAGACCCTTGCAGGCCCTGTGCATGCTGCCTCAGTTCTTTGAGTTCTTATGTTTATCAATTTAAAAAAAAAAAAAACGTATTTAAAGGGTCTTGTTTTCTTGGTGCCCTTCATCACCCCGTGGCCCTTCTATTTTCTGCCTCCTCTTCTTTGGGGTTTCCTGATCTCACAAGAGTTCAGGGAAGTTTCTCCTGGGCTGAGGTAGGGGCTTCTTTAAGGAGAGGAGAGGGAGTGGTGATGTGATGGTAAGGTACTGGGTTTATAGTCTTATGAAGTGAGTTTAGGGCATTATGGAGAGGTAGGGGGTCCTAGGTCCAATGGTCACTTTGGAATCCAGAATTAGGAGCCTGCTTTTGCAATCCAGGGTGCCTGCTCAGAAGAGAAGAGCAGGGACCTCCTGGATTGTGTCCCAGCCTAACGCTGTATTTTTTTTCTTTTTCTTTTTCTTTTTTTTTTTTTTTTTTGGTTTTTCAAGACAGGATTTCTGGGTAGCCCTGGATGTCCTGGAACTTACTATGTAGACCAGGCTGGCCTTGAACTCAGATCCATCTGCTTCTTCCAGAGTGCTAGGATTAAAGGCAAGGTGCATGCCACCACTGCCTGCTGGCCTCATTCCATTTTTTTTTAAGATTAAAAAAAAATTATTTATACAAAGTTCTGTCTGCATGTATGCCTGCGTGCCAGAAGAAGGCACCAGATCTCATTACAGATGTTTGTGAGCCACCACGTGGTTGCTGGGAATCGAACTCAGGATTTTTGGAAGAACAGCCAATGCGCTTAACTCTGAGCCATCTCTCCAGCCCTTCATTCCATTTTTAAGACCATGTCTCAACATGTCTGCCTGGATGGCCTAGAACAATGTAGACCACGTTGGCCTCGATCTCAAGAAATCCACTTGCCGCTGCCTCCCCTTTAATACTGGGATTAAAGGTGTACCCAGTCCAGATTCCTAACCTTCACAAGTTAGGCATTAATTCCTCAGAAAATACTTCTCCAGACTGCAGAATATGGCTATATAGCACCGTATACACACATTCCTCCCATGGCACCAGACGTCATAATGTCTCTGTGCAAAGCGTCTAGCCCCGAGCTGGGTTTGTTCAGGACAATTCAGTAACTTACACATACTAGAATCTCTGAGCTCTATAGAACCAGGCCAAGTTGTGTGACATAATAAACGGTACTTGAGCTAAACTGAAGAGTGACTGCAAGTACTGAGGTTTTGGAATTTGCAAGGTTGGGTATCTTGTCGGTGGGGAGGCCCTCCGTAGCTGAGCTGCAAGTTACCGGAGGTGAGTCATGGAGTGACAATGAAGTCACAGAACTGTGAGGCCAAGGCTAAGTCATAACAGTGACATGTGTAGGCAAACTGTCCGGGAGATGAGTAAGGGGGAGCAGGTCTAAGGTATCTCCACGGGGGTGTGGGACGGGAAGAGGTACTTGGCAGTAGGCCCCACTTTTAAGCTTCCCACAGGACTTGTTAGGGAAAGAAAATGCTTCGTAACTAGTAAGCTAAGAACCAAAAGCCCAGTCACCCCCAAATGCCACAAGGCCACGGGGCCTCGCAGGGTCAACTGCCCTCTTTCAGTCACTTCACTCTTCAGAGCGCCATGTTTTAGACCCGCACAGTCAATCCACAGTCATCGCGACCACCGAATCCACAGGACAGGCGCCTCCCTGGACCTTCCCAGCCAAAGCTGACAAGCCGCGCCGTCTGAGGAAGGACTGTGGGCTTATCTCATTCGGGCCCACGTCCCAGCCTTAAGGGCCTGACATCCTCTCCCACACTCCTCACAGCTCAAGGACTCCGCTCCGAGCTGGCGGAAGACACGACCGGAAGGGGCGGGCACTGCGCCCGGCGGGTCTTTCGCACCATGGCTTCTCGTGGCGTCGTTGGCATTTTCTTGCTCTCTGCTCTCCCTCTCTTGTGTCTGGAGCTCCGGCGCGGGATCCCGAGTCTCGGTAAGTGTTGCCTTGCCTTCTCGATGATCGCAGCTGCGGTGTTTTCACCTAAGTGGGGCATGCAGTTTCTTCCTGGCCATGGCGCCTCCGAGCGCTTTTGACTACAATTCCCAGAGTCCATCGCGCCCTCCCCCTTCCGGAGCCGCCTCCATTTCGCGGGAAAAGTTCTTTTGGGCTTTGGCCAGGTTCTGCTTAGAAAGGGGCCGGAGTGAGAAGTGCGGGACAGATAAGAACTAATCTGTTTCAAGAAGTGATGAGAGCCGGAAACAAATAGGCTGATAGTATGAGGGCCTTTAGAGCGTAGAGACTGACCCTTAAACTCAAGAAGCCATCGCCTGGAAGAGAGGATGGAGCACAGGTGAATGTTTCAAGGGAAGGCCTTTGTGGCTAGATCGAGGAATGAGACAAAGGGAGTCTCTGAATAGCATTTACTGAAGCCTTACTCTTAAGTCAGATATTAGTGTTCGCAGTCTCGGTCTCCACTAGTGCCGTAAGGACTTGGAGGTACTGTTAGCATAAACAACAGCTCTCATCCCAAAGGGCTGACAGTTTATTTTGGAGTCAAATATGAATGTCCATGATCTGGGAGTACAGATTTAGGGTACCTTGAATTGCGTGTTCCACGGTTCCATAAAGATATGGTAGTAACAGCAAAGAACGTCATAAACACTTCAAATATACATACAGTTATATCGTGGAGATGGGTTAGAGCAACGTGTAGGGAAACCTCTTCCAGAGGCCTCAGATGCTGTCAACTTTCCGAGCTTTTGGGTTGGTGAAAGGCTGTGGGCTAAGTTAATATAGTCCGTAGGTTACACGTGATAGTCACAGGGTATAGAAGTGAACAGTGAGTGTGTGTGTGCGCGGGTTTAAAGCTAGCCCAGGATAATTTGTGATTAGCCTCTGGACCTGCGCAACATTCGAACCACTCCACAGTCTAAAAAATGCTTATCAGTCACTCGTAGAATGTACAACTTATATACAACGTAAGGGGAGGCTTCTTTGGGTATACTTGAGTTTGCATTGCTACTAAAACTGAGCTGGAGAGATGGCTCAGTGGTTAAGAGCACTGTTTGCTCTTCCAGTAGGTCCTGAGATCAATTCCCAGCAACCACATGGTGGCTCCTAACCATCTACTGGGATCTGATACCTTTTCCGGCTTGCAGGAGCACATGCAGAGCATTCATATATGTAAATTAAATAGATCATAAAGAAAACAAACCAAACACAAAGCCTTCCCCTACATTTGAGAGTGAGTGGCTTCTTGGAGGTGGTTTTTTATTTCCTTTGTCTTGTTTTGTTTTTCTAGACAGGGTTTCTCTGTGACAGCCCTTACTATCCTGGAACTCCCTTTATAGACTAGGTTGGCCTTGAACTCACAGAGATCCACCTGCCTCTGCCTCCCTAGTGCTGGGATTAAAGGCGTGTGGGTCACTGTTGTAATAGGTTTTCCTCCTAACACCCTACATGATTTTTCTTTGTGTGTGTGTGTGTGTGTGTGTGTGTGTGTTTCAAGTCTTTAACTAGCTTAGTTGGCCTGCAACTTGAAGCAAATGTCCTGCTTTAGGCTTCCAAGGTCCTGAGATGACAGTGGCAGCATGCCTGGCCAACCTAGAGGTCTTTAAAGGATCATTCTGGGTACAGGAGAGATGGCTTAGAAGTTAAGAGCACTGACTGCGCTTCCAGAGGACTCTGGTTTAATTCCCAGCAACCACATGGCAGCTCACAACTGTCTGTAAACTCCTGTTCCAGGGGATCTGACACCCTCACAGAGATACATGCAGTCAAAACAATGTACATAAAATAAAAATAATTATTAAAAAAAATAAAGCAGGCCTGGTAGTGCGCGCCTTTAATCACAGCACTTGGGGAGGCAGAGGCAGGTAGATCTCTGAGTTCAAGGCCAGCCTAATCTACAAAGCAGAAAAGTCCAGGCCAGCCACGGCTATACAGGAAAAAAAAAAAAAAAAAAAGCTGCTTCCTTTCAACACTCACCTAAGGAACTTGTTGAGGGAGATACCACTTCAGATTTGTGCTTATGTTCCTAAACCTTATCCCAGTGTTTAAGAAAACTAAGCCAAGTTGGAGAAAATGGAGCTGGCCTTCAGGCAGCAGTGCCTACTTTTGAGAATTTCACTTAACGGCCACAGTCCTTTGCTGTGAGGTGGTGGTGGGCTTACTTTTCCACACCTTACCCCCCACCCCATTGGTTTCTTGCTAATCTGTTAACAATATTGAAGTCTGTTTTAGAAATGATACTCTGGTGCAACAGCTGTAATGCTAATTCATTAGCTTACCAGTGGAGCATACTTAATGGATACTGATAGTCCACATTTTTGTGATTCCTTCCTTAAATAAGCTTTGGCCAGAAAGCCACTTGGACCTAGATCTTATTACCTGGGTAAGATGGTTCTTCTGTATCTGCCAAGTTTTAAAAATAAAAATGAAGTGCATTCTGAATCAGATTTTAGCACTAAACAAAAGAACAGCAAACCCCTCAAAAACTCAGGATAAATTTTAGTCCTACTGTACATCTCTTCCTTCCACATTTAGCAAGTTGTGTTACCAGATTAACAGTCAGTTTTTTGTTTTTTAAGTTTTTGGTGTTTTGAGACAGGTTTTCTCTGTGTAGCCCTTGCTGTCCTGGAACTCACAGATCAGCCCACCTCTGCCTCTCTGAGTGCTGGGATCAAAGGTTTAGGATACCACACCTGGTTGATGCTCTTTTCATTTTGGCAACTGAATCTTCACCTGGGCTCTCAGAACAGTATAAGAAGTACTGATAAACATGACTGAGTAAGAGCTGGGAGGTAGAAAAACGCACTGTGGCACAATCTTGAGGAGGAAATTTGATGTTTCAGGGACTGGAAGGAGGGTATAGCTCAGTAGAGAAAACGGTTCTTGGAAGGCTGGTGAGTGAGTCCCAGTACCAAATGAGTAAATAAGCAAATGACATTTTGGGCTGGCAAGATGCCCTACTAAGAATGGTGCCTACTGCTGAGCTTAATGACTGGAGTTGGATTCTGGGAACCCATGAGGTAGTGAGAAAGAATTGATTTTTGCAAATTGTCCTCTGACCTCTTGTGCAGTGAGGGGTGCGCTGTGCCCCACCCAAGTGCCCCAAATAACAAATACTTCAAAATATTCTAATGTTATTTTGTTCGGAATGGCTATTTGAAACAGAACTGGAATTTGACATGATATTAATCTTATTTCAGAGAAAATCAAGTCTTAGTATTAATATTCATTTATAATGCCCCTGAATATGATGTGTTTCTAAACAGGATGATTCTTCTAAAATTATTTGACAGTTTGTTGTGGTAGTAACCATCACGGTGAATTTCAGTGCCCTAGGAGGCTTAGGAAAACACTCAGGAAGCTTGTGGCATTTAGCTGTTGTAGTAATTAATACAAAATGAGTTTATTATTAGCCCTAAGGTTATCACAGTGGTATTATCTAACCTATCACAAATAAAAAGACACAGACACCTGTTAGATTTTGTAATTGCCTTATTTACCTTGGATCTCAATAATCTCACCATTCATCTCCTAGCACCCATCCAATGCCATCTGCCTTAACTGTCCTATCTTCCATCCATAATCCTATAAATACTTGCTTCTATTTTTCATCTGGCCCTTTTCACACCATTATTGGGAGTCCTTCTTCCGGCCCCTACGTGGTTTCTTCTCCAGGATAACCCATCTTGGTGTCTTCCTCCTTCTTCCTCCCTTTCAGTTCTTGTGTTTCCTGTGATTCTCTCTTGAACCCAAAAGCCCAGGAACCTTCACCAAGCCTCCCCATTTTGCCCTGCCCAGGTATAGGCCGTTTAATCAACCAATCAGATATGTTCTAGGCATGTTTACAAAACAAAGATAGGTGTAAGATCTTAAGGGCCAGTAACACACGTCAGACCACCTCTGACACTAAATATTTACTATAATCTATCATTTATTAGTAGTAGCAAGCATGAGAATTTTTCTCTTAAAGAAAAATGTTTAATTTAAATGTTTTTTTTTTTTTTTTATAAGGGATTAAAGATCTCATTTTGCTGAGTGGCCGGATATTCCTCCTGCTTGCGCTGCTCACCTTGATCATTTCCGTGACCACCTCCCTGTTTAACTCCTTTAAATCTCCCCAAGTTCATCTGAAAGGTAAGTTTACTACTTGGGCTACCTTTTTTTTTTTTTTTACTCAAAAACCAAAAAGTAATCTTTTCTATTAATTTCTTTCTTTTGTTTATTCTACAATAAGAATTGTTTTATCCTTTACTTATGATGTGCAATTTCAAGAGGGAGCCATGAAATTCTCCCTTCCTCCGAAAAGGTCACAGGTTTGGCAGTAAGTGTCCTTACCCACTTGGCTATCTCAGCAGCCTTAGAAGCTTTGAAAGCATGGATAGAAAGATGGCTCAGTGGTTAGGAGCAGCAGCTGCTCTTCCAGAGGCCCTGCGCTCTGTTCCCAACACCCACACTGTGTCTCACAGCTGTCTGTAACTCTAGTTCCTGGGGACCTAACACCCTCTTCCAGCCTCCATGGGCACTGCACGTATGTGATACACAGACATACAGATTGGCAGAACACACATGTATACGATTTAAAACAAAAGAAAACAAACCAAACGCAAACCATATTGCACTTGACCTTCTAATAGATGACTTTTAAAATTGACAGCTGTTCTTAAATGTTATTAACAAAAGCTTCCCGGTAATGAATGTGTTTTGTTTTTTTTTAAGATAGGATCTCAGATAACCTAGGCTGGCTTGGTACTTACTATACAGCTGAGGATGATTTTGAACTTCTGATCCTCCTGACCACTGAAATTACAAGCATGTACCAACACAGCTGGTAGGATGTGGCAAGGCAGGCATTTTACTAAACAAGCTACACCCTAAGCCTCTGTAATTTATTGCTTGTAAAATATAAGTAAATACAACCAATAGTGTAAATTTATTAGCTCTCTCACATTAACCATGCAAAAAAACATAATCGCAAAAGATTTTCCAACCCAATGATACATGATAATGTGGGTGCTTTGGGAATTCCCAATCATAGATTTTGAATTTTCTGTGGTTTGATCTATTATATTTTAAATGACTCAATGTGGCTATTAAACAAAAACATTATTTTGTGTGGGTTGCATTTTCAGGGTTTGTTGGGATCCTTAGTAGTAGAAGCATGACCAGCATGTGTGCCCTGGCTTCAGTCCTTACCACTGAAAAATAAATAAATAAAAAATAAAATAAAAATGCATTGCTATCAAGGAAGATGGTTTGCTGCTTACATTGTGCCAGAAGCCCCCGTGGTCTGCTGTTTATAAATATGGAAGTGTGCCCTTGATGGTTCCTGCCCTTCTAAATTGTTTCTGTGCATTACCTGAGTGTGAGTCATGGGGCTCATTTATGATGGGGCAGGTTCTTGGCGTTATCTTCCCAGAAGGCTGATGCTTAGGTTTAGGCTGTGTTTAGGCTGTGTTTAGGCTGGGTATGGTGATACATCCCTGTAATCATAGCATCGGAGAAACTGAGACATGAAGATTCCCCAGGCCAGCTTCTCTCTATGAAGCCTCTTACCTCCAAAAAAATTAAGTTGTCATATACAATAATATATGTTAGTGAATTGTTTCAGAACAGTTTTTTAGTATAGATTTCATATGCAAATCTCTTTTAATTTTTATTGGTTGAATCTACCTCATTTTCGTTATTTGAAAAATATGTAGTGTTCTTGTCTTTGCTAAAATCAGCAAAGATGGTGGTGCAAGCTTATAATCCCAGCACGATGGCAAGGCAGGTGGATTTCTGAGTTCGAGGCCAGCCTGGTCTACAAAGTGAGTCCAGGACAGCCAAGGACCCTGTCTTGAAAAACCCAAAAAAAAAAAAAAAAAAAAAAAAACCAGAGAAAATGCATTTGAGTCTTTGATACTGGAGATTTGAAAAGTACCTTTATGTTTTGGATTCAGAAGGAGAAGAAGAGAACGAGAAAAGGCAAAGGCTGGTGAGGAAAAGGCAACAAGAAGCCCAGGGTGAGAAGGTAAGGCTCGGCCCTTGAGGGCGTCAGTGGGCGCTGCCTTACGTCTGTGCTAAGAGGTCTTTGTGTGTATAGCTACTGGTGTCTAAGTCACAAGGCATGAAATTGGCCCCTCCCTCCTTTTTTGAGACAAGGACCCTTGGATCGTTGGCTGACTTTGAGTTTACAGCGAGGATGGCGTTGAGTGCTGTTCTTCCTGCCTCCCCTTCCTCAGGGCTGGGATTACCAAGCTCAATGTTGACCTTCTAAAATTAAAATTAAAAAAAAAAAAACAAACCTCATTTATTACGTTTTATTTACTCTTCATTCATGGGTCTGTGTGCCGTGTGTGGAGAGAATGGGTTCTCTCCTTCCACTCTGTAGGTCTCAGGGTTTGAACTCATATGGTCCAGCATGGTGGTGGGTGCCTTCACCCACTCTTGACAGTCATACTAGCCCTGGCCACTGTTATAGCCAGTGTCGGCCTCAGTCTCAGGAGCTTCCTGCCTTAGTTCAGCTGCCTGAGTGCTGAGCTTGAACGTGTGTGCTACCATGCCCAGAACACCCTGGTTTCACATGTGTGTAATATTTTCTGTTATTTCTGACTTTTAGTCAATGTTCTGTTGCTGTGAAAAGACACCATGACCAAAGCAACTCTTACAAAAGACAGCGTTTAACAGGCCTAGTCCATGATCACCATGGCAGGAAGCAAGTGTGACGCTGTAGCAGGAGCTGAGTTTTATATCCTGATCCTGAGGTAGCAGGCAGAGTGAGACATGCTGGGCCTGGCATGGACTTTTGAAATCTCAAAGCTCCGCCCCCCATGACACACCACCTCCGACCAGGCCACAGCTTCTAAGGCTTCTAATGTTTATATTTGAAACATTCAAATATAAGCCAGTCTTAGGGTTGCTGTTGCTGTAATGAAACACTATGACCACAGCAACTCTTACACAGGAAGACATTTTACTGGGGCTGGCTTACTGGTTCAGAGGCAAAGCCCGTTGTCATCGTGGCGGGAAGCATGGCGGCAAGCAGGCAGGCATGGTGCTGGGGAGGAAGCTGAGAGTTCCACATCCTGATCAGCAGGCAGCAGGGAGAGAGAGAGACTGGGCCTAGCTTGAGCTTCTGAAAAGTTCAAAGTCCACCTCCAGCGCCGTAGTTCCTCCAACAAGGCCGGCCACACTTCCTAATAGTGCCACTCCCTAATGGCTAAGCATTTAAATGTATGAGCCTGTGGGGGCCATTCCCATTCAAACCACCGCAAGTTTCTAACCCTGTTCTTGATTTATAACTCAATTCTGTAGCATGTAGAAACACTCACATCCAGAAATGACACTCTTTCTCCTGAACAGGCCAGCAGCTATATACAGAATGTTTTGAAGCCTCAGCAGGAAAGGAAATTGAAAATACTAGAAGAGCGCCTTTATCAAATGACGGGTGAGACCCGGAAATTAACCACTGGCCACAAACTTGAGGTTCGAAAAACTCTGGTTTTATATTTTGAATCCTATTATTTATCTCCTGTGTGTGTGTGTGTGAATGTGTGTGTTGGGGGTGTTTTATGCCCTCGTGTATATGGGTGCTGTTGCCCATGTAGGCATAGAGTGTTCAGCAGTTCAGCATCTTCTATTTTTGTCCACTGAGCTGTCTTCTAATCCCTCATGTTAGCACTCCTAACTTTGTCTTCTCTTTAGTGTTTTGGTTGGTAGATGTTAGTAGGTTGGCTTTGCTTTTATTTGTTTTGGCTTTTGAGATGTGGTCTGGCCCCGTTTTCTGGCTTGGTTTCCAACTCCTTGGCCCAAAGCTTCTTGGGTAGCTGGGACCACAGGGCTGCACCACCCTGCACCACTGTGTGCCACGATGCTCCACTCTGGTCAGCAGGCGGATGTCAGCCTGACAGATCTCTTCACAGTGGTCACAAGTAACTTCGTCATTAGTATCACTGTTTTGAAAAGGTTAGTGGTGAGAACGGAAATCCAGGAACCAGTTAAGCTGTTGGGGTGGTTGTTTTAAGAGATTCCTGGTGTTTTTGTGAAGATCATGGTGTTAGGGCGGAGTTGGATGTGTCTGTCCATCAAGTCCAACCAGTGACGGTGAGGCAGCCTGGGCGTGGCTAGTGAACTCGTTGGCGTTGCCATCTCCATCCCCGTTCCCCGTGTTCCTCATGTATTTTTCTTGATGAAGGAGGGGTGACTATATCCTGGTAAATGGTGAATATTTCAGTTCACCTGAAATATTTAAGAACCTGCGACAAAGGTTTTTAAAAGGTTAATAGCTAACCAGGAAGCAGTTACTGAGCGATGTCTCTTGGAGGCCTGCTCTTTTCTTGGGGGGAGGAGGATGGGCCTGGGGAAAAGGGGAGCTGGGAGTAGGGAACTGAGCAGTGGAGGGAGGTGAAACTGTGGTTGTGATGTATTGTGTGAAAGAAGAATAAATAAAAACTAAAAAAAAAAAAAATACCCTCACATTAAATTCTTTTGTTCTAGTAAGGCATAATAGTTCTAGTAAGGCATGTTAGTTGCTTTTGTGTCTCTGTGATCAAAATGCCTTAGGGAATGACTTAAAGGATTATTTCAGCTCGGTTGCATAGAAGTTCAGCCACAGTGGCTGGAGGGCAGACAGAGCAGAGCTCTGCAGAAGGCAAAGGGTATATGCCAGAATCCCTCCAGGCTTCCAGTGGCCTGCTTCCTCCACTTGAGGCTCACTCCCATCTTCCCCATGAGTCATCTTATTAGGATCCTTTCCCTGGATCCAAACCTTTTTATGTAATGGAACTCCTTTCAGAGATGCACTCTGAGGTGCAGCTCACCAATCTGTGGAGATGTGCATTGAGGTGACAAGGGAAACCGCTGCAGCAGTGTAAAGAATGGCCTTTACACTTCCTGGAGTCCTCTGCTCTTTAGAGAGGTGATTACCTTGAAGGCCGAGTCTGAATTGGAAAGTCTGGATGTTTAATAGAACCAGATAGATACTATGACGATTCCTTTACATACATGTTGTGTGTTCTAGTCTCCTGGGGAGACTACAACAAATACCCATCCACCCCAGATAGCACACTGGCCACAGACCTAGGAAATGGCTCCATCCAAGTCCATCTTGTAGAGTCAGCTAATTTCCTGCAGGGGAGGGGATCGTCACCGCAGTAAAGGCGGCTGCACCACTCACAACTGCCCACGGTGACACTGAAGCAAAAGAGCGCCAACCCTGGGCCTTCCTTTCACATCTTGCAGACTGTATCCAGCACTTGTGCCTGTTTCTGCAATGCCAGGAGGGACCTTTTGTATCTGAGCCTCTGATGTTCCCTGGGCCGTAGGACAAGCAAGAGTTTGCACAGCTCTTGACAGCACATCACCTCACACTGCCTCGCTTCCTTTGCTGGGAGGAGGATAGGACACCATTGGCCTTTTTCCTTGTGTCTGTCATTGTAGAGACTTAAGTGTGTAGTCAGATGGAGTACTTAGGAGGCAGAGGCAGGGGATGCTGAAACTTCAAGGCCAGCCTGGACTCCACAGATCCTGTGACAAAACACAAAACAGCATTGTTCAACAACAGAAACGAGATGAATGGGGCTTTGCCAGCTATTCCTAGTCAGGGGAGACCTTACAGCTGGATAAAGGTAGATTTAGCCTCATGTTTTCTTGTCCAAAGAGACTATGCTTTAGTTTTCTCATCTAAAAATGACTACCAGAGCTAAAAATGTAACCATTATGAATACACCTTAGTCAATAGAACATGCATCCTATTTACTTATTTATTTATCTATCTATCTATCTATCTATCTATCTATCTATCTA